ATCATTGTTGTTTGGCGGGCCCAGGCTGGGGATTCGAACCCACCACCTTAGGTGTATGTGGCTGGCACCTTAGCCGCTTGAGCCACAGGCACCGAGCCTGTTGTTGTTGTTCTAATTGTTGTTGTTTAGCACCTAGCTGGGTTTGAATCCTCCAGCCCCAGTGTATGTGGCCGGCACCTTACCCACTGAGCTACAGGTGCTGCCCATGTCCTAAACTCTTGAAGAGACCATAATAATCCCCAGTAGTTCACATCAGAAAAAAGCTAATAGTGGCATTTGTATGAGGGTTTCTATGTAATTATTATTATTATTATTATTTTTTGGGGGGGGGACAGAGCCTCAAGCTGTCGCCCTAGGTAGAGTGCTGTGACATCACAGCTCACAGTAACCTCCAACTCCTGTGCTCAAGCGAGTCTCCTGCCTCTGCCTCCCAAGTAGCTGGGACTATAGGCGCCCACCACAGTGCCCGGCTATTTTTTGGTTGCAGCCATTATTGTTGTTTGGCGGGCCTGGGCTGGATTCGAACACACCAGCTCAGGTGTATGTGGCTGGCGCCTTAATCACTTGAGCCACAGGTGCCAAGCCTCTATGTAATTTTTAAATCAATGTTTTTTTCCAATTAGACTGAAACTAGATTGATTTCTTAAAAATTATTTTACATAATATATCTTATGACATAAAAATACTAAAACTAATTTAAAGGTTACCTGATTCCACACCAGTGAGATAATATCATTAATAATCTCTTTGTGCATTTGTGAGATTGTTTTTTCTCTATAGAGATGCCAGGTACCCTGACACCTGTCATAGAAAAAAACCCTATATAAATGTAAAAACTTACTGAATATCATGATGTCTTCTATTTCTTTGTTTGTTTGCTTTTCAGACAAAGCCAGAAAGAACTGACCCTCTATGGCATTACTGGAGGGTAGAACATTCTTCTGTCTCTTGCAGCAGAACTCATTCAATCAAATAATTTTATTTCTCTGACTAGATGGGTAACAGATGAGCAAGCCTGAACTTTAGTTCCTTTCTATTCCATCTCTGCAGATGGGATAGGAGTGATCACACAAAGGAGGGGTTACCTGGGAAGGATCAAAGGGGAAGAGATATGGGTCAGCTATTTTGTTTAACCATGCAGGGAACTCTCCAGAGAGGAGATGGTGGTAGGGATGAACCAGGAAAGATGAGAATGCTTTCTTGGAGTTTAAATCTAAGGGAAGATGTAATGTAGGACTTTGGTATTAGGCTTAAAAGAATAAAGTTTAAATATACAATCTGTGCATTTCTTTCTTTCATATTTCCTTCGATACCTTAAGTTATTTTTAAGATGATGATCACTGTTTAACAAAAACTCACAACTTGGGCCAGGCTCTGTGGCTCACATCTATAATCCTAGCACTTGGGAGGGCAAGGTGGGAAGATTGCTTGACGCCAGGAGCTTGAGACAAGAAGTGAGTTGAAGCAAGAGTGAGATCTGAGGCTCAGCGCCTGTGGCTCAAGTGGCTAAGGCACTAGCCACATACACCTAAGGTGGCGGGTTCGAATCCAGCCCAGGCC